CCTTTCGAGGATCGCCGTCCTGTTTGAGTTTATTTTTCTGTCTTTAACTATCTTTGAAGAGACTCCTCCGGGCCTTGGGCCTCCTGTCTTATATATATTGAAATTGAAATTGAACTGAATTGAGTCAGTCACTTATACCGTTAGCAATTTCGACTGGGTCTATTCATTTAGTATTCTGTATAGTTTCTCCAACTATCACACAAATTCGAACAAACTATGGGGAGCCATTTGCTGTCAAAAATAGCAGACTTAAAAAGGAAAATATTCAGCCAGATTTGTATTCACAAGACCACCTGAAGTGATATGGGTGGTTTTGTGAGAATTACCTCAAGTGTCCAACGTGCATTTCTTTGGCGATATTAGGACTTGACATATCGACGATAATTTTAAGTTTTCGTGAGGGAGGAGGAAGAGTAAAGCCAAGTCGAACCAATTTGGAAATTTCGTCAGCAACAATTTCTTTCGATATGTAGATATTAATGAAACCGGAAGCTGTTACTTCAGCCTAAAAAATGTATGAGTGGCAATATTGACTAACCTTTTCTATCAGAGGCCCTTTGTAAAGGCATTCGCAGATTTTTTCTGAAACCTCTTTAGGGGACTGTTTCGGTCCTAGGGAAGAAAGTTTCTTAAAAATTAGAATGCACTATTCATACCTTTGCCAGTGTGAAGGCACTATTGCATTGATAATCGCCAAACTTGGGACTTGTGCTCGGTGTTATGATCACATCAAATTTTTCTACTGCCGAAAAGGCCGTTTTAATGGCAGAGTCAAAAACTGTAGAAAGAGCGTCCAAAATGCATATCTGGTGACAGGCAAAACTCTGGCGTATATTTTCGATGGCCTACAAGATTTCAGAAACGTAAACAATATACCTGCTCATTATGGCAGATGGTATTTTCGTATTCAGTCATCATTTCACAAAGACGAGCATACTTTGGCAACGACTGTAAATCGGGCGAGTTGATATCCAAAGTTTGACTAACAGCGGGCATTCTGTGCGTTTAGGCCTTTAGCACATACACTAGAACGGAGTTGGCGGTTGTTTGACGAAGAATTTATAAGAAAATAAACCATCCGCATTTGCTATACCGGAGATAAACAATACATATATTCCAGTTTTCTGACAGAAAAGATGCATTTAAAAATAATTTTAGTTGCTATCTGTGGAGTATATATGAGATGGAACCAAAAAAGACAAGGAAGACCGGAATGACCATTTCAGGATTATTAGTCGTCATCAGCCATCATACCCAATCACTGGTGTGGAAGCACCGAGATTCTAACCTGACACTTTGCTTGTGGAATATAACACTCGACAACCGAGCTACGGGTGAATTGCTTTGTCGATTATTAACAGATATCATCATGTTACAGCATGAGTCTCTGAGCGAGTGCTCAAGTGTGAGCTCCAGGGCAAAAGCCGAATATACATGTTTCTTTAGTAGATCTATGAGCCGCACACCTTTATATACGTATGAAATGCATCAGACGAAGCACGGGGAGACCGAAATGCCCATTTCTGGCTCGTTGGCCATCATCAGCCATTTATACAAAATCTCAAGGGTTGGAACCCCCGAGATTTGAACCCGGGACCTTTGGTCATTGAGTTCAATACCCAACAATAGCAATCCTCTACTAGATCGGCGGAGCATATATGCTCATCATATTCCCGATCTCAACCGACAAAGCAAGGAGACCAACAACCACTAGACTCAAATTCAGACAACAGACTTGATATCCCGCACATAATTTCTAGATGCCCCGACACAAAACTCGTTAAAAAATCTAACCCACAGCAATTCTGCTTTCTTTATACGAACGCATAGAGTTTCTTCCAGAAGATAGATGATGCATTATGGCTTTAACTGAAGACACATGGTACACCCACTTTACATTTCCTGACCCTTTATAGACCGCGTGAGCAAACACCATGGCTCGATAAAGCTTTCTTCCGTTTTCCCCCGTAGATATTATTGTGTCCTTTTCTCCACCCGAACACGCAGTTGCGAGTTCTTGTGCAATCTGGAATTGTGTTGTCTCTGGAAAATGTACTCATCTTAATTTTAGTTGCTGAAATGCCACTAGACCACTTTAAGTTAATTTAAACAAAACCTCGTTACCTTTGTTGTCCGAATCGGTACCAACTTCATGTTATAGTGACTTGGCCTGGAATACTATACATTTTCAATAGCCTTCCATGCCAGATTACACAGGACGTATTTAACCACAGCGTATTTCAAAAAAGTTTGCTTTTCGCGCATCCTCGAATGCAAAAAGGTGATATGGTTGATAAGCTTCCTTGCATACTAATGTCTAGTCAGATTCAGATCGCCGCAAGGTCAGTTCACAATAATGACCATGGTGCGAGGATTAAATACGATCAGACACTCCCGGAGCAGGAGGCCTACCGCCTGTTGCAGACCTCTAGACACGGCGACTACACCGACCGAAATGTGACTCTGGACTCCGGCCCCCTCATTAGTTACTTATATCCTACTCATTCAACACTACATTCAATTATCTATAGCAATCTGGCCTTTCACCCCTTATCATATCTAATATCTTATATTCGTTGGGATACGTTCTATCGTCTATTGTCCCGCCGGACTACATCGTATCCCAAAAAGGCCTATAGTGCCAAATCTTCCCAGCAACCGAAAACACCACAGAGCTAATCAAGAAAACTAGCAAGAGTATGTCTGTCTCAGAAAACGCCAGCGTTTTGGAGATCAAACCAGTTCCCGCTTGCAGACGAAATAGTGACGAGCGAGTGTTTGAATCGACTACGACCTACGTCATTATCGTTTAATCGAAACAACATGTTACATTTTCCCGGGCAGCCTAGTGAAGAAGTCTTGGGGCTCAACTCCTTTAGACTTGGAAAGCGTTTACTCGATATATCAGAGCATCCACGCCCTCCAACTACTGAAGGTAGTGTTAGCGATCGACGGCATGTCAGACTCCTTCCCTCGTCATTATTTACAATTAAAGATGCCAACCACGACGTTTTTAAATCGGACGACAAGCGAAGAAAAAGGATAAAACGTCGATAAGTAATTCTGCAACTGAGAACAAGATTACGGAATGTGGAAATTTATCTATTTAGCTTCGGCAAGGTCCTCTCTCAATTCGTTGGAAGGGACTAAATTCGAATGAGGAAAAAACAGATGCCTGAAATAGAGGCTCAAGCTGAACCATAAAAAAACTCCGCCATTTAACCTTCACATTTGTTCCCAACAACGTAAAGAGTACATTTATAATAGCAGCTCGAGTAATTAGGAGAGACTCACGTCGCTAACATCTTTAAGCTAGGTTCCGTATGAAAAGAGGAGTAGGACGACAGGTGAAAGGAATAGCGTATTCTATATAGAACTGATGGAAGAAGTTTGGGATTTGATGTGTGCACGTCCGGAGCCGCAAGGCCGGCGTCCATAGTGTGAGAACTTTGACAATTTC